GGGTCGGACTCAATGATCTGTCTAGGTCTCTTCCGACTCACTGATTCTATGATTTGACTTTTTCCAGAGCTGTATCCTACTGGTGGTTCACAGTCATTAACTGGTACCCCTAGGTCTTTTCCCTCCTCATTCATTTCCAACTGATAAGCTGCCAGCTTACAGCAAAATTCCTGTTACTCATCCCTCAGTCCATGACCTTGCCCTTTAGACTTAAATTTCATAGATTCATAGACATTAGGGTTGGAAGCGACCTATTAGATCATCAAGTCTGACCTCCCGCCCTGGGCAGGAATGAGTGCTGGGGTCAGATGACCTCAGACAGGTGTCTGTCCAATCTCCTTTTAAACATCTCCAAGGAAGGGGACAGCACCACCTCCCTTGGAAGCTTATTCCATATTTTGGCAGCCCTCGCTGTAAATAATTTTTTCCTGATGTGCAATCTGAATTTGCTCTCTTCCAGTTTGTGGAATTATTTCTAGTTACCTCGACAGGCACCCTGGTAAACATTGTATCCCCTATTTCTTGCTGCCCACCCCAGTGAGTTTGTAGGTGGCCACAAGATCACCTCTCAGCCTCTTCTTGCGGAGGCTGAAGAGGTTCAGGTCTCCCAATTGGTCTTCATAGGATTTTTTCTGTAGGCCTTTAACCAGACAAGTGGCCCTCCTCTGAACCTTCTCTAGGCCATCCACATCCCTCCTGAAGTGCGGTGCCCAAAACTGGACGCAGTACTCCAGCTGCGGCCTGAGCAATGCCACAGAGGAGAAGTAGTATCACCTCCCTAGACCTGTTTGTGATGAACCTACTTATGCAAGAAAGGGTGCGATTAGTTTACTAATTACCACATCACATTGGTGACCTATGTTCATTTTGGAGTCGACTACAACTCCGAGATCCGTTTCTGCAGTTGTACTACTTAGAGTGGTACCTCCCAAGCTATGGGAGTGTTGATGATTCTTCCTCCCCAGGTGCAACACATGACACTTATCCTTGTTAAACTGCATCCTATTCTGTTCAGCCCATTTCCCCAGCCTGTCTAAATCAGCCTGGATTCACTCCCTGTCATCTAGTTTGTGTACCTCCCCACCACAGTTTGGTGTCATCAGCAAACTTGGACAGGGTGCTTTCTACTCCCTCGTCCAAGTCACTAATGAAGATACTGAATAGTACCAGTACCAGGACAGAGCCCTGGGGGACTCTGCTGCCCACATTTCTCCAGGTAGAAACTGACCCATCCACCACCATTCTCTGGGTGTGTCCCATAAGAAAATGTTCTACCCACCGGACTGTGTAATAAACTACATTTCAACTATTTCATTTATTTATAGGAATTGGGTGTGACACTGTGTCAAAGGCCTTTTTAAAATCTAAGTAAATAACATCTACCTCTATTCCTTCATCCAAGCATTTTGTGGCCTGGTCATAAAATGAAACCAGTTTAGTCAGGCAGGATCTGACTGCTATGAACCCATGCTGATTGCCCCTTAGCATCATTTTACCCACTGGCCCCCCACATGGGGGCTGTTCGTGCATCAGCCAGCCACTCTACAGCATGTGGAGCCACGTTGGAGCAGTCAGCCCAAGGCTTCTCTGATGTGGGGCTCCACATGCTGCCTGCCGGCTAGCCCAGTGCTGAAGCACCCTCGTGCCCCAGCCAGCCCCGTCACCGTCTACACATATGTTTTAAGTGCAGTAATTTACTGTGCCATTGTATAGTACTTGTGTCTGATGGGACTATCAACAGTACAGTAAACATGAGTCTACACTGGTCTAATTGCCATACACATGTAGATGGTAACACTTTACTGCACAGTAATTTAGTCTACTGCTCAGTAAAGTGCACATGTAGAAAAGTGTAGAAAATGTGTAGAAAACTTTACTGCACAGTAAATTGCATGGTAAAGTGGACTTTGTTCTAAACTGTCACATACTAGTGAGGTGAAATGGATCAGCCTATAGTTTATTGGATCACCTTTTTTTCCTGTTCTTAAACATAGATAATATATTTGTTATTCTCCAGTCTAACGGTACCACCCTATTTTGATAGATTAGTTAAAAATAGTTGCTATGTAGTTGTGATTTCCCGCGACAGTTTCTTCAGAGTTCTGTGCTCAAGATTATCAGGGCTCCCTGATTTTAGTACGGTATACTTTTTGAATTTTGCTCCCACCCCAGTTGTGGCAATATCTCTTTGTCTACAGACTGTGCTGTGATGACTTTCTCTCTTCAGACCTGGTGAAGACTGTCTTGCATTTGAAAGCTTGTTTAACTATCTCCACTGTGCAGTTGGTCCACTTCTTTCTGAAGTGCTTTTTCATCTAGAAAACGCTGGAGACCGTCCTGACTAGATTCCCCCTCACCAAACTAGCATGGGATACAAGTTGCAGGCAATTTTTGTGTTATAAAATCTGAGCTTTCTCCACATGAAGACCCCTGAGCATTCCCACTGACTCCAGAAAAGTCAGGATTACACCCACCTCTGGTAACTAATAACAAGGGCGACTGGTGCTGCCTTAGTCAGCGGGAGTACATGCCCCCCTCCAGCGACCAATCAGTGACCAGGAAGCTGAAGGGTCTCCCCATGGCCGATTGCATCAACTGTGGGGGGAGTCCCCACATGGCAAAACTTACCAACTGATGAGCAGCCACACTGCTTCTGGCCGTGGGGCTTCCGGAAGTGGCCGTGGCCTACATCTGGTGCTTGTACTCCCTGGCTGGCGCTTGCGGGGGGGCACTGGCACTCCTGCCTGCCCCCACTGTCCATCACCTGAGTGGGGAGCATGGCCTGACAGGGGGTGCACTGGCACTCTCAGAGGGTGCATGTGCACCCCTGTGCACCCCCTATGCATCACCACTGATTAATAATATAGCCCCATCTCCATTCATAAAGTTTCTTTCCATCCTCTGAGAGTGTGGGTTCATGCATATTTTAGCCAGACAACCCTACAGCTGTAGCAAGTCACGACTGGCTCAGGTAATGGTGTCAAAAAAGCTGTAGGTGCCTGGGTTCATGCCCCTGTTTGGCCAAGCAGAATGAGGCCCTCCAAAAAACCCCTGGTGTCATTTTTCTTTCTGTAACACAATGGTGTTCGAATGTCAAGTCTGATCAATTCTGACACTGCCAGGAATGTTTTAGAAATCAGTGGGCACAAGCCTATGGATCTGATGTTGAAAAATGAAAGCCAGAACAGAGGAAATGGAGACCTTGTTATGAGGGGAAGAGTGAGGTAAGTCACACAGAGGGGTATGTGGGAGGGAGGGGGGATGTAGGGGCAGGTCTGGGGCAGTTGCTGGGAGTCCCTGAGAGAGAGGTAGTGGGAGAGTGGCACATGTGGAGCATGGCACGAACTGGATATGTGTGGTGCACTCAGCCTGCAGAAACAAAGAAGTATGTGACCTTCTGGTTTAAGCCAGACATTAAAACCATCTCCCTCTTTCCACCTCTGATAGAGGGGGCCAAGGGGATGCTTAAACCCTCCTGTAAAATTTGGTATGTGTCTGGTGGGGAAATAATTAGGGGATTTTGGCTCAGACCCACCACAAACCTCCCAACAAAACTGCGTCTGCTGTGCAAGCTACTGCAGAGTGTCATGTCTGCTTCCCCTTGCTGCACAGTCCCTCCATCCTCAGCGTCTGACTCATCAGTGCTCTGAGGTGCTATTTATTTTAAACTCCCTTCTGCACCATTGCTATGGAATTGCAATCTGACTTTGCAGGAGGCTTGTTTCAAATGTTAACTTCTTTCTGTTTCTTTTGATCTGGAAAAGGGAAAAACAACATATTATGTTGACTCACTAGAAAGCTGCTTATTTTGAAGCATAATTACAGGGTATGTTCCCCCATACAATTTGCACTCTCCAACATAAAAAAAGGACCATTTGTCTTTGACAGTGAATCGGTGAATGCTGACTTAACCCCCAGCTGTTTAAAAAAAAGCAGCAAAAAGTACCAGCAAAGAAAAAAACAAAATAAAAAACAAAACCCCACAACGCCTTTATATTCCACTTCTGTTCTGCTTGGCAGCCACTCCGTAGGTTTTTTTTTCCCCTCCTGGTCCAGCAGATGGTGTGAGATGGCTGTTTAATGACTCACATGGGGCGTGAAAAGGAAAAAGATCATATTGGTGATCGCGCTGAAAGATGCTAGAGTAAAACCAACAATGTGCAAAGATGTGCATGAAATTTGAAAGCTGATATGTTCTCTGGCTCAAGCTGTTTTGTGTATGTCTCCTCTTGGGTGGGTGCCCCTTGGATTTGTAGTTCATTGTTCAGAGGGCCTGTCTATGGCATTTTTCTGCCTTTTCCAGGGGGTTAATATGGGATTCTGTTGACCTGACTGCATTATTTTCAGGGAAGTAAATTCATGTAGCCATAGTTTAGACTGAGGTGCTTTATAGTGTGCCCATTTCCATTATTAGCTGCCACAGTTCTTTGGATTCTTAACAATAACTAAGGAAATAATGAACCTCCTGATTGGTTTTTTTTTTTTGTTTTTCTTTGTTTTTTTCAGGTGTAGTTACCCTGAAGCAGGGAGAGTGACACAGCAAGAAGTTCTCTGCAGTGTTCTGCTGAGAACGAGAAATGCCTCGTAATTCACTGTCCACCCTCTTGAAGGGAAGAGCTGAGATTAGATGAAGACGTTATACATTATGAGACTTTCAGCCTGGGGTCAGCATTAAAACGTGGTCCAACTCAGCAAGAAGGTAACATTTGTGTCTGATGCCTGTTACGTGGCCTATCTGGAATGAGTTTGGTGGGTCTCAGACTCTCGGTGGACCGGTGTGTACAACCCTACTGCAGACTTGGATTAGCTGTGGTGGCTGACGTGACTGATAATATATGTTTGTATTATGATATTGGCACCTGTCTGCATAGACTGTGCTCCTGAAAATGTATCAATAGATATTCTGAGAGAGGCTTCACTGTAATGGTCTGTGGTTGCTAGTTCTCAGGGGCAGAAATTATGAGAGGTCTAATTTATACCAGCTGAGGATCTGCCCATAGGATGCTTTTCTTTTAGGCTGGTGGTAAGGCTGGATCCCCAAATGCAAAGGTAAATGGATCCTTAGCAAAGGTGGCCCATGAAATGAGTCTGATCCCTGCTGGAAGTTCCTGGTCAACCAGATCTGCCAGGCTAGCTGGCCATGTTATGCACATCCTTATGGGTCACTGATTTTAAAAGCAAACTGATGAACCTAATGGCACTAAAGCAAGTTGTGTGATGGATTGGAAAAGCCAGTCATGTGTTGGATTGATCTCAACAGTGGACATGGCTTCAGGCTACAAAACTTGAGTCTCAACTTCCATCTTCCCCTCCCCCTGCCAGCATGACAGTCATCAACATTTGGCTGAGGGGTGAGGGTCCTTAGGTCTGTTGTTACAGGACTGGGAAGGATAACAGGAGTTTCATGGGAGATTGCAACAGGATTTTGGCGATGGATTTAACTGGTAGAGATCTACCAAGGGTCACTCATCTTCGTATGGTTTAGACGTTCCCTCCATGGTTTAGATGGGAGTGACATGTAAACCTAGAAGCTGGATTTAGTTTTAGATTTTGAACACCTTGGTCTCAGAATGAGGGGCTGGAGAGTCTAAATTCAGGAGTTATGCCAAAGGGTTAGTGGGGTGGAAAACCATTAGCTGGGCAGGCCTGATGTGAAGTCAAGGGCCTAACTTATGTGATCTCAAAAAATGTGTTTTATAAAGTGACAGTGTTTTGTGATGGGATAATGTATGGCACTTTGTACACTTGTTCTTGAGCAGCCACTAAAAATAACAATCATAGGGTATATAAGTGTTCTAGATATAGGCATGGGAAATGAGGGACATGCAGAACAATGCTTCAAATCCACCAAAACACTGCTGCTTTTCCTTGGTTCAGTGGTTCTTCAACTGGACAGAAGATTCTAATTGTCCTGTGAGATGCAAAGGTTATATTCCACCCCTAATTCTGAGAATGGCTTGCATCTTTCACCTGAGACAAGTGGTCTCCAATCCATTTTTCACAGCATTGTACGACTGTACATTTAGGATTACCATATTTCCAGTTCCAAAAAAGAGGACACCTGTCGGGGGGACACCTCACTCCCAACTCACATGGCCCTGCCACTGCCCCTCACTCCCAACCTGCAGCTCCCTCTCCCTGTGGCTGCCCCTCACTCCCAACCTGTGGACCCCTGGTCCTGCTAGTGCTCCTCACTCCTGGCCCACGGTCTCTCACCAACTCCCCCTCAGCCATGCTGGTGCCACTGACTCCCAAGCTGTAGCCCCCTGGCACTGCCAGTACCCCACACTCCCGACCCATAGCTCCTCCCCCCCCAGCCCTGCCGGTGCCCCTTACTCCCAACCTGCAGCCCCCTGCCCCTCCCTTCCCTGCTGGTGCCAGTCACTACTGGCCCACAGCCCCCTCCTCTTCCCAGCCCTGCCAGAGGGGAACCCCAGCTGCCCCCATCCTGACTGGGCTGGATCATAGTGGCTCCAATTCATGCAGGCGAAGGTGGAGTAAGTCTGGCCCTGGTGCAGACTGGAAGGAGGAAAAGGGGATGCCTGTGGCTGTGGCTCCAGCACCACACCAGGAAGCCTAGCCACAGCCCCCGTCCCCCAGGCAGCATCCCGTGGGGCTGCCTGGCCCCATGAACACAGGCCACAGAGCTCCCTCAAAGGGCCCCCTTGCCCCCTTCCCTTGCTGGAGGGGCAGGCACCTCCCCTGCCGTGCTGTAGCCTGGGTGCCTGGACAGCTTCCCCCAGCGCTGCCCCCCCCCCCCAATTTCTTCCTCCGCCCCCCCCC